AAGTTTATTTGTCGTGAGTACTTCTACGTCGGTTGATTAAGGCAAGATTTCGACACCAGGAGCTGACGTCATCAGGGCTATCCCTCAGGTGTGACGTGTGACAAGTGACACCAGCCTGACCTTGTTGTGACAACAACACCGATGACTCACCCGGATTCTATTTGGCCCCGTCCGACCCGTCTCCATCCCACTGACCTACTTTAAAAACGGAAGTTGACGGTTTAGTGGGCTATTTTTAAAATTTGAAATCACCGCTCTTGTTATCGTGTTAAAGATTATATTTTCATCCTGTATTTTAACCGTTACTCATTTACCGGCATCGACGGATTTAATTAAACTAAGTAGGTTATTCTTTGATTAAAACTATTTTAGATGGCCCCATCCCTCGTCTAAAAAAAGTCACGGTCATCCCACTGGTGAAATCTAGAGCTCATGTGTCCGATTTCTGAATACATTTGGTTAATGACGTACTTAACTGCGTGTTCTTCTAATTGTAATTAGCAGCGCTCTTTCATTAAAGCGCCGGTGTTAAAATTAATTGTATTGGTCACATGGATTACTTGTCCGTGCATAATTAATTTGACATGATTTAAATAACAGAGGGCCAGTATAGCATGAATATATTACAGTTGTCACGTATCTTTTCAATTACATTTGGTATAATTTTTGTATACATTTGATGTACTTTTAGTATACATTTGGTATACTTTTAGTAAACATTTGGTACACATTTGGTATGCATTTGGTATGCATTTGGTACACATGTGGTATGCATTTGATATGCATTTGGTACACCATTCCAATGATCACTTTATCAAAAGATTACATAATTCCAAAGATTATATCATCCCAATAATTACACCTCAATTATTATACCACTCAAATGATAACATCATCGTAATGATTACACAATCCCCCAAGATGTCAACATCCTAATGATTGCAACATCACTATTATTTCATCATCCCAATTATTAAACTATTGAAATGATTACACTATTGCAATGATTACACTATTGCAATGATTATACCATTGCAATGATTATACTTATCAAATACTAAATGTATACCGACATCTCAAGTCTTGTATGAAGCATGAATCCCATCATAGGCCATTATTTTAATAATCTTCAGAGCTGACTCAGCTCCACTGGGTACCTGTCTCATGTTGAATCTCAATTTGCACATAAACTCTACTCCCTCTGTTATTCAGTCAAACGGGTCCCGACCATGTAGCCTACTTACAAACTATTGTTTAGTAATAAATACGTCAGTTATGTGGGGCAAAATATTACTTCCTGAAACCAAGGCTACTAAAAAAAAACATTTTATTTACATGCTAATTCACAATGTGAACCAAGGACTAAATACTTTAAGACCTTCAAGGTAATTACTTTTTATAGGAGTTTTCTTGGGGAAATTTGGGAAATACCCGGGAAATTAAAGCTGCATGAACAAATTACCTGTCAGAGGTTACCCACATCAGTATTTGACTAGTTCTCATTTTTCTTGTTAGGCAAACATCGATGTTCAAAGTTTTATGTGCTTTTCTGTATGGATTCAGGTGTGTGTGTGTGTTGGTTTTTGAGAAACCATTCTGTGTGTGTTTAATAAGAGTGGGTATATATATATTAAAACTAGTAAGCAATAGTACGACATATATATATATATATATATATATATATATATATATATATATATATATATATATATATATATATATATATATATATATATATATAATGTCAAGATTTGTATCTTTATACCTAGCAATCTATTGTGTAGATGAAGTAGAGTTGTCGAACTCAGTGTGGGAAGGTGTGGTCAGCACTTTACTTAGCCGCCTTTACTTTCCCCAACGTGAGATAGGTACCTATCAGAGCTGGGATGACTCAGTAACGGTTCTACTGACTTGAACCCGGATTCAAGCTCGAGACGTTCGGGTTAACAGTCTAGTGCTCTACCGCTAGGCCACGCCGTCCCTTTCTTATAAAATAACGTAGTTAAAATACCTTGGTCATTGATTACCAAAAATAAATAAACATTCACTGGCCGAGATTTGAGTAAATACTGTTTTGTGATCATTGTATTGTTGTTGTTGTATAAATAATGGCGAGACTTGGGTTCTTGAGACCACGGCCTTCTGGCCAGTGTCCATGTAAAGGCTGGTACATCGATATGATTGGCTAGTATCTTTCCTTATATATATATATATATATATATATATATATATATATATATATATATATATATATATATATATATATATATATATACATATATATATATATATATATATATATATATATATATATATTAATATATATATATATATATATATATATATATATATATATATATATATATATATATATATATATATATATATATATATATATATATATGATTGTTGCCTTATATGTACATATTAAATCGGCTCATGGTCGATAGGCTCCTGGTTGTAAAACATGTACTACGCGAACTACTCTTACAGAATAAATCCAGAAATGCTCAAATTTTACGATCACCAAAAATACTGATCCTCATTGGTAATAAAATACTTAAAAAAAAACTTTTTAAAAAACCACGTTTTTCTTGTGGACTAAAAAGTAGAAAATAACTATTTACATACATTTGATGACAAAAAACGTGGGTACGTTCACCATCAAATTTCCCGACCCATCTGCCCGACCCACGTTTTTTGTCATCAAATGTATGTAAATAGTTATTTTCTACTTTTTAGTCCACAAGAAAAACGTGATTTTTTATAAAGTTTTTTTTAAGTATTTTATTTTCTCCTTTTTAGTCCGTTGCTACACATGAAAAACGTGGTTTTTAAAAAAGTTTATTTTCTACTTTATCTAATGACTTGATTAAGTATGACTTGACTAAGTGTTTATAAATACACGGACTAAAAATCTTGAGCGACCAGTATTCGAACCTGGGTTGTCGCGGCCACAACGCGAAGTACTAACCACTATACGATCACGGCCAGCGCGCTCACATCGATTGGGGCCGAAGTAACTGTGTCAATAGGCCTCCAGTCTTGTCGTTATCTTTAGAAATCACGTCCTCAATTTTATGGTCCTTAGGGCGTAATTAAATTAAGCTAATTACGGTCTCTAATTGCTAGTTTTTATGATTGCATCTGAAATTGTTAGGCGAAAATAGCCTGCATGCCGAATTTCAGATCTCTAGAGCAATCAGAAGTGGGCTAATTTTCGATGTCAATTTTAACAACAAACAAACAAACAAACGCGAAGCTGAGTTAAGAAAAACGTGTTAAAAATGTCAAGTCTCGGCTAAAACCTGGCATGCTGATTCACGTGAAATACCGTACCAACCCCAGCGGTAACTTGACAGCCTATTTTATTAATCTCAAGATTAAAAAAGGACTTTAAGCAATAAACAACAACAGCAACGAGTTTATTATCGAGTGAGATCGCAACATAACAAGTTTGAGATTGATTGCTTGAGGTGTAACGACTTTTGTGATTGACGTTAATTTGGATAAGGTGCAGGGGGGGTTGTGAGGGAGGGTATAGATTGGGGGAGGGGTGAGTATATCAAAGTCATAAGATTGAACTTGTAAAATGAAGTTAAGTGCATATGTTTTCGTCAGTCCTCTCTGTTTCACAGCTATTTCTCATCAGAGCTGTGTTTGGTGTTTGGTGCTCGGCCCTTCATATTCCATCGTAATTACACCTTTAATTAAATTACATACCCCCTCCCAACTCAACGTTCCCAATCTTTGAATATACTAAAATTTGCAAACAATCTGGTTCGAATCACACCCAGTTTTTTAAAAAAAAGGGGGCAATGCATTTTTATTATTAAACGTTGGCCATATATCTGCGCAGGTAATACAATACTATTTTGTAGCATGGCCGAAAAAACAATCCAGGATTTTCAAAGGGGGTAAACTCTATTACGAATTCTTATGACGTCACCTCATGGGCATTTTCTCTGCATTTGTTTTCTCAAGTACAGTCCCTTTTATTTAAAGAAAAAAAAATAGGCAGACCTATTATTTTCCAGGTGAGGTCGCCCCTGTTATTTTCTTCTGGTTTTCTTAAATTCAAGACAGGAAACGGCCGTCCCGCCCCCGGATTCCCTGTCTATCCTGTTCGCTATTTACGAGTTTATAAAACGAGAGTCTCCTCGTATAGAGCAACTAGTTGACGTGAGGGTTGCCTCGCTAAAACCTAACAAAAAAATTGTGCGATCAAGTCTTATTTTCACAACTATTGTCGGGCCTGGAGGTTCTGTTAGCAGACGATGTCTGTGGTTCTGAAGAAAGTTCAACCGCTGGATCGGGTGATTAAATTTTTAAATTTCTAATTAATGAGGATTATGTAATTAATTTACAGTGTGGTAGATTTATTTTTTTTTGTTGAGTTTTGCACAGAGAGAGATTGAAAAATCTTGATTCGACTTGGATTGTTTTTCTACCTGGAAATTTTTAGTGTCTAAAATTTCAAACGTGTAGTGGAGGAAAACTTGATGCCTTTGTATCAGATTTCCTAGTGTGTTTGTTTTGCTGTGTATTGCGAAATTTATTTTTACAATTCATGTTTTTTTTTTCCAAATAAGGATTGAATATTATGTGGATAATAGTGTGTGTCTAGAGACAGAGTTTCTTTCCGATTAAAAATTGTCCTTTTGAGTTGGTCATCTAATTATCAACCTTTGAAGCAAGATCATTTCGTATTGTTTGCGTGAAGGTTTTGGTGTATCCTTCACTTTGAATATCCGTGTTAAATTATTGGGATCTGTGTTTGCTTTTGCTGTTTGTACTTGCGAATCCATGTTTTCAATATTGATCCTTGTTTGAATATTAAGATCTCAGTTGATTTTTTGGAATAAATGCTCTAAAATGAGGATCATTGTTTATATTTTTGGATCCCTGTTTCAATCTAAGGATTGATGTTTAAATTGTATGATCTAAGTTTGGGAATGAAGATCTTAGTTCAATATCAATCGGTGTTTGTTAATTAGAATACATGTTTACATTTTAGGATGTTTGCTCAAAAACTGGAATCTGTTTAAATGTGTTGACCATCTTTACATTTTAGAATATGTGTTAAAAATTTGAATCTTCACATAATATGGCTAATCAAAGTTGATTTTATTTGGTTGGGGTATCTCTGTAGATGTTAGGAAAATATTTGTTAAGGTTTAAAGAAAGCTGGTCGATTAAACGACAGTTTAAAGGGCGTTTGTTTTCTTCTAAAAACAAATATTTCACAATGCAATCTAGAATGCAATACCAGACTAGGAGTACAATCTAGAGTAGGAAGATATTTAATACTGCATAACGAATATAGGCATAAACATTTACAAAAAGCCAACCCTCCCCTCTACACACACACAAACCTTGTCTATAGAGCAGTGACAAACACACACACACACAACGTAAAATCTAAAGCTTAAGAACACAACACATGCATACACACATACCCGCACACACTACACACCCCTAGTCTATAGAGAAATCACACACGCACACACACACACACTCAACTCCTTAACGTAATTTATATACAACCTCAATCTGGGGATCTCTCCCCACACACACACTCCAACCCCCTCTCACACACTAGACTCCCCTTAACGTAACTTCTGTATTACCTCAATCTGAGGATCTCACACCCAAACACACCCCAACCCCCCTCACAAACAACCCCCCAACCCCCTCACACACCCCCAACCCCCTCACACACACCAAAACCCCGCACACACACACACACCAACCCCCCCCCCCCCACCACACACACACTAGAGCCCCTAACGTAATTTCTATACAACCTCAAGCTGGGGATCTCTCCCCCACTCTCCACACACACACACACACACACACACACACACACACACACACACACACACACACACTTGACTCCCCCTAACGTAACGTCTGACGTTCGCATTCCCCGTCCGTCATGCTGTCAGTGCGGCTAGGAAGTTTTAGCTAGTGGTGATGAATGGACACACCATGTGTCATTAAGGGGGTCTGACGTACGTATTCGTACATTGTCTACATTTGATGTGACATAACTCAGGTGCAATCGAAAACACAAATATTCGAGGTATCTGAACACCTTTGGTTGTTTTCTTTAACGCTAATTTTGTAGTTGTCGGAATACCTCTCTACCCTCTACCCACTCTCACATCCTACCCCCCCCCCCAGTAACGATAATTACATTCTAAATGCCAACAATTATGAATCATTTATAAAATTTCTTTGCGGCTTTTAACAAAAATTGCTAAATTTTAAAAACTTGGCAATATCTTAAGTAAAATGAGAAAAAGATAATGTTTACTAAAAAAGTGCTTTATATTTATATAATGATATATATGTATACGCACATATGTATACACACAAGTATATATATATATATATATATATATATATATATATATATATATATATATATATATATATATATATATATATATATAAACTGTACAAGTATATTTATCTAACCAACTATTCATACAACTATTCAGGATTCACCACCCGAGTACTTTGAGAACGGATACCACCCCAATGGCGGCCATGTAACAGAAACTAGTGCAGGATATAAAGGCAACGGCTACACACCCAGCGATGGGGCGGACTCGGAGGTACAGTCCTCCCAGGGGACAGAGGCCGAGGATGAGAGGGGTCAGTGGGGGAACAAGGCCGAGTTTGTCCTGTCCTGCATCGGGCTGTCTGTTGGTCTGGGCAACGTGTGGAGGTTCCCGTACCTGGCATATCAGAATGGGGGAGGTGAGGCTATTGAAGATGATTAAAATTAATATGCATCTTATGTGCATTACATGTGTCGTATAGTATAAACGTACGAGTCATTGTATGTGTCATCGTATGTGTCGTTTTATGTGTCACCTTAAATTATCGTATGTGTCATTATAAGTTATCGTGTCTTCTTTTGTGTCATCTTGTGTATTTTGTGTCCTCTTATATGACAACTTATGTGTCATCTTTTGTGTCATCTTTTGTGTAATCTTATGTGTCATCTTTTGTGTCCTCTTTTGTGTCCTCTTATGTTTCATCTTTTGTGTCATCTTATGTGTCATCTTATGTGTAATCTTATGTGTAATCTTATGTGTCATCTTATGTGTCATCTTATGTGTTATCTTATGTGTCATCTTTTGTGTCATCTTTTGTGTCATCTTTTGTGTCATCTTTTGTGTCCTCTTTTGTGTCCTCTTATGTTTCATCTTTTGTGTCATCTTATGTGTCATCTTATGTGTAATCTTATGTGTCATCTTGTATCGTATGTGTCATCTATAGTGTCCTTAAAATGAAAAGTTTATAAATTTTAATCTTTGCTTGATTCTGACTTTACTCCCCACCCTCCCCATTCAATCCCCTATATCATGTATTTTAATATCATTACACCGGGCATATTCAATACCTTACCTATATTCCTTAGTGTTAATTTTAAAGAAAAAACTGCTTGTAATCAACATTTCTTAAGGGGGAGTAATTCCAGCCGTAAATGGCTAGAATTGCATAGGCCTTGATCGCAGATAGGCGCCTGAATATTACTGTAAACATGGACCAAAATCGTGATTTAATAAATTTCGTCAACTTAGTAGTCTTAGGTAATACAAAATCAGAAGAAAACAATAAATTTAATCTAATATTATCATCGGTTAGGTTCGTCTGTCTGTAACCCTTAAAGGGGAACAACCACAAAAATACCGAACGAAGAACAATACATCTTTTCACTGATTTCATTGTGTTCTTTGTTATTTTAATTAGGCAATTTAATCCCTACTTTGTATGGTTTTCAAATGACCAAAAGAAATACCCATGACATATTTTAATATTATATGTTGCTCTAGTTTTGTTTGTTTGTGTGTGTGGGGGGGGGGGGGGGGGGGGGGTTATTTTGCAAGAAAAGTAGTTTCAAAGAAAGTATTATCCGTACATGCCTCCAATGGCCCCTATAGTGAAGCCGTCTCAGTGGATATTCGTATAATCCCATATCAAATGTCCATCTATACCAAAACAAAGACAAACACTATCCTTTATATTTACCCATGCATAAACCCCACAGCTAAAACCAAGCCTTAACCCTAATTTTATCACTAGCCTTTGTGTTAATGATTCACTTTCGGCTGCACCAGATCAAAATCAAGAACCGACATACTTTTACATTATCCTAGGCATACATTTCATTACAATTGTAATTAAACTTTACCAGCAAGCCATAAATCTATCTCCACAATTTTATTCTCTATTGACACACTATGTTTCTTAAGGCACGGCATGTGGGTACAGCAAGTCGGGGTGAACGATGTTTTCTCTAGCTAAAAATACATCTTGTTTTTCCCAAAGCTAGGCTTTATTTAACCCAATGTTTGCCTGCACTATAGACTAAGTTTACTGTCCTAGTTTCAGTTTGCCTGTTTAGACTAAGCTCCCCTGTATTTTAAAGCTTAAAGTTATTCAACAAAATGCTAAGCAGCATTATGTTGACATTGTAAGTAATTAAAAAACCTCGACCCCCCACCACCCCTTACCCCAGCCGTCCATGTCTCTACACAAAGCAGATATAAGAGCTTGTGGGGATTACCTCTTTGTCCCTTTTAATCATAATGATATATATATATATATATATATATATATATATATAATGTGTGTGCGTGTGTGTGTGTGTGTGTACATCTTGAGGTGTAGCACACCTCCCATAGATCACTAAAAATTATGAAAAACTGCTTCCTTAAGGTCAGTACAGTTGTAATGACAATTATTACCTCGTGAAATTTCTTTTTGAGTTTGATCATGAGCAGAGGCGTAGCGACCCCTCCCGGCGCCCGGGGCGAACATTCAGTGTATATATATATATATATATATATATATATATATATATATATATATATATATATATATATATATATATATATATATATATATATATATATATATATATATATATATATATATATATATATATATATATATATATATATATATATATATATATATATGCGTGTGCGACAGTCTTGAAAAAATTAACAGTTACGCTGATTTTCGTTCCCTAAAACTTTACTCGACACCAATTAAATTCCCCCTGAGATGCATTATCCTTTAAAGATGATGATTAGAAATGTCAGAAAAAAAATTGTAGCGGTGCTAAATCGTTTAGGACAGACTTTTTACGTTTTATCTTTGAAACAGTCTCTGTTATGATATAGTACATATTTTGATTATAAGTTTGTTAGATTAAGGTCATACAATTGACATACAATAGCAAATTATTGTTCACATTGGAATACGATATGTGTATTTCGTTGACTGGTTGATTGTATAATGAAACAAGCTAGAGGAAACACATTTATTTTCTAAGTGTTAAAAGAGTTATCTAGTAACCGATCCAATACAAATCCTGCGATTTTTGTTGGTGAAAAAGCGCCCCCCCCCCCCTCTCCCCACCATCTTGGACAAAAACGGTACAGTGGATGTTAAACGTCAATAATTTGTGTTTTTATGTTACACAATCGTAAAATACGTTTTAGTTCCATGGGTTCTTTTCTGAGTGATATGGGTTATTTATTCCTTAATTTTTCCGATTTTAGTCTTCAAAAAAGCGCCCCCCCCCCCATCTAGGAAAGCTGGAAAGCAGTTTTTCCGGTCACTGTTTCTTAAGGATATACCTTTTACAGTTACACAATCAAGGTAGAAAACAGTTAAATTAGTATGCAAACGCTCTCAGCGGTTAAATTTCTTTACTTTGACTGTTTATATTTCTAAACTACAGCTTAAAATGAGCTTGTAAAAAAAATGTTCTACCCCTTTTGGCGCCCCCCTGAGGTCGGCGCCCGGGGCGGCCGCCCTCCCCGCTCTCCCCTAGCTACGCCTCTGATCATGAGATCCTTGATTCAATGAAAACACGCACGTATTGTAAGTTGACCTTTGTCTTCTGTCTGGAATAGTGCCATCTTCTGTCTACAATTCCCATTTTTCCACAGCCATTTTCCACTTTTCATACCAAATACCTGTGTACAGGTTAAGGATTTAAGCATAATATGCATGTAACTTTAACATACAAACCTTTCGTTCTGTCCTCGCCAGCCGCCTTCCTGATCGCCTACATCATCCTACAACTTCTGATCGGCAAACCCATGTACTTCATGGAGCTGGTGATGGGACAGTACTCGGGCAGGGGGCCCACCAAAGTCTGGGAGATGAACCCTTGTGCTAAAGGTCAGGGCACTCATGTCGATGGTTCTCAAACTAAACAAATAAACGCACAGTTTAAACATTTTAATTCGGATTAACTTTGTATGATATGTCTGACACTGAGATTTTCATTTAAAATACAAACATCATCATTACACTTTTAAGAAAAAAAAAAGCAATAGCTTTCTTTTAATTACAGCGCAATAAATTCGAGTATGTGTTGTTGGGTTTTGTGTGTGAGTGCAAAATGTCTAATTTTCCCTCTAATTTCCCATTAGGTGTCGGTATATCCATGTGTCTGATTTCGCTTGTCGTCGCCATCTACTACAACATCATCATGGCCTACACGTTGTATTTTTTCTTCGCATCAATGCAGGAGACGCTGCCCTGGTCAGTCTGTACTGAGGTGGGTCCCTGACAACTGTAACTAGATGGCACTAGAGGTGTTTTAGTTTTCAGAGTCAGGGTTATAGGTCAGGTTCAAGGCTTAGAATAGGTGCAAGATATACGTTTTGGTTATTTGGTTTAAGCAAGGGTTAAACATATTGCTATGGTTACTTTTGTCAAAAGCTTCGTTTAAGCTCAGAATTAGGTTTAGAGCCAGGATTACAATACTGTGATTAGCCGCTGAAAAATATAGTAGAAGTACCAAATCATGTTTAATTAACATCTTAAAACTTCATCTCTAATTATGTATAATTAACTACAAACTGTCACACAAAGATCTAACTTTGTTTGTCAACTGATCTAGCCATAATTCTCACTTTAGCAACCCTTATTTCCATCACGAGTAACCGAAATTCGCTCCTGCTTTTTAAGATTCTCCTCGTGTAATGCTAATTACAATCTGATCTAACCCTAACCCCTCACCTGATCATATCCACCCCATGTACCCCTAATCCCCACTTTATCTAACCCTAACCCCCCCCCCCCCCACCTGATTTAATCCTAAAATCCACCTCATGTAACCCTAACCCCTCACCTGATCATATCCACCCCATGTACCCCTAATCCCCACTTTATCTAACCCTACCCCCCCCCACCTGATTTAATCCTAAAATCCACCTCATGTAACCCTAACCCCCACCTGATCATATCCACCCCATGTACCCCTAATCCCCACCTTTTCTAACCCTAACCCCCACCTGATTTAATTCTAAAATCCACCTAATGTAACCCTAACCCCCACCTGCTGATCTAACCCTAACCCCCACCTGGTCTAACCCTAACCCCCCACCCCCCTGATCAAAGCCTAACCCCTCCCCCTCACCTGATCTAACCCTAACCCCCACCTGATCTAACCCTAACCCCCCCCCACCTGATCTAACCCTAACCCCCACCTGATCATATCCACCCCATGGACTCCTAATCCCCACCTAATCTAACCCTAATCCTCAGATGATTTAATCTTAACACCCACCTCATATAACACTAATCCCAACCCGATGTAATCCCCCTCTTCCAGCAATGGATCCAGGACTACAACTGTGTATCAAAGCTTGGCCCGCCCCTACAAAACTGTACAATGAACGCTACACTGAACGGACTACTTGGCAACTGCCTGTGTACCGGTACTACAGACCAGAGCGTGTTGCCTGGCAACATGACGTGTACCACGCCCACTTCCGGTCCCTCCAAGTCTCCGGCGCAACTTTATTTTTAGTAAGTTTTAAATCTAAGCAGAGAGCTAATCCTATAAACCTCAGCTCAAAAACCTAGTTGTTAGTTTTTAAATTGGCGTTACCCTTGACGATGAGTTTAAGACAGGGAACTAATGACAATAAGCTAATGACAATAAGTTAATGAAAATTGCATTATGTTCATGCAATGATTGCATGTAAGTCAAACACGGCTTAACAACGGATTTTCTATTGGAATCACAGTTAGATTAAGTGTTTAGGTAAGTTAGGCCAGTTGCATCCACTGGCACATGGACCGACAAGAGCTTTCCTGGCATCTCTATTCTAGGCTAGTCTCTCCAAATGTCCCCAGAGTGTATACAATCTTCTTTGTTAAAATTAAGAATCGTCTTTATGGAAATGTAAAAGTCACAGCTATTGGCTAGTCTAATCAGATCCATTAATCCACGGATCCACTTATACACTGATCCACTTATACACTGATCCACTTATACACTGATCCACTTATACACTGATCCACTTATACACTGACCCACTGATTCCTTGATCCACTAATCCACTGATCCACTAATCCACAGTAAAGAAGTTATCCAGAAATCCGCGGGCGTGGAGCCAGAGAACATGGGAGCGCCGCTCTGGAAACTGACCCTGTGTCTCATCCTGTCGTGGGTCGTGGTCGTCTTCTGTTTGATCAAAGGCATCAAAAGTTCTGGAAAGGTAAGCTGGTGAGGTCGTCTTCTGTTTGATCAAAGGCATCAAAAGTTCTGGAAAGGTAAGCCGGTGGGGTGTGGTCGTCTTCTGTTTGATCAAAGGCATCAAAAGTTCTGGAAAGGTAAGCTGGTGAGGTCGTCTTCTGTTTGATCAAAGGCATCAAAAGTTCTGGAAAGGTAAGCCGGTGGGGTGTGGTCGTCTTCTGTTTGATCAAAGGCATCAAGAGTTCTGGAAAGGTAAGCTGGTGAGGTCGTCTTCTGTTTGATTAAGGGCATCAAAAGTTCTGGAAAGGTAAGCCGGTGGGGTGTGGTCGTCTTCTGTTTGATCAAAGGCATCAAGAGTTCTGGAAAGGTAAGCTGGTGAGGTCGTCTTCTGTTTGATTAAGGGCATCAAAAGTTCTGGAAAGGTAAGCCGGTGGGGTGGGGTCGTCTTCTGTTTGATCAAAGGCATCAAAAGTTCTGGAAAGGTAAGCTGGTGGGATGGGGTCGTCTTCTGTTTGATCAAGGGCATCAAAAGTTCTGGAAAGGTAAGCTGGTGGGGTGGGGTCGTCTTCTGTTTGATCAAAGGCATCAAAAGTTCTGGAAAGGTAAGCTGGTGGGTCGTGGTCGTCTTCTGTTTGATCAAGGGCATCAAAAGTTCTGGAAAGGTAAGCTGGTGGGATGGGGTCGTCTTCTGTTTGATCAAGGGAATCAAAAGTTCTGGAAAGGTAAGCTGGTGGGGTGGGGTCGTCTTCTGTTTGATCAAGGGCATCAAAAGTTCTGGAAAGGTAAGCTGGTGAGGTCGTCTTCTGTTTGATCAAAGGCATCAAAAGTTCTGGAAAGGTAAGCCGGTGGGGTGTGGTCGTCTTCTGTTTGATCAAAGGCATCAAAAGTTCTGGAAAGGTAAGCTGGTGGGGTGTGGTCGTCTTCTGTTTGATCAAAGGCATCAAGAGTTCTGGAAAGGTAAGCTGGTGAGGTCGTCTTCTGTTTGATTAAGGGCATCAAAAGTTCTGGAAAGGTAAGCTGGTGGGGTGGGGTCGTCTTCTGTTTGATTAAGGGCATCAAAAGTTCTGGAAAGGTAAGCTGGTGGGGTGGGGTCGTCTTCTGTTTGATCAAAGGCATCAAAAGTTCTGGAAAGGTAAGCTGGTGGGATGGGGTCGTTTTCTGTTTGATCAAGGGCATCAAAAGTTCTGGAAAGGTAAGCTGGTGGGGTGGGGTCGTCTTCTGTTTGATCAAAGGCATCAAAAGTTCTGGAAAGGTAAGCTGGTGGGTCGTGGTCGTCTTCTGTTTGATCAAGGGCATCAAAAGTTCTGGAAAGGTAAGCTGGTGGGATGGGGTCGTCTTCTGTTTGATCAAGGGCATCAAAAGTTCTGGAAAGGTAAGCTGGTGGGGTGGGGTCGTCTTCTGTTTGATCAAAGGCATCAAAAGTTCTGGAAAGGTAAGCTGGTGGGTCGTGGTCGTCTTCTGTTTGATCAAGGGCATCAAAAGTTCTGGAAAGGTAAGCTGGTGGGATGGGGTCGTCTTCTGTTTGATCAAGGGCATCAAAAGTTCTGGAAAGGTAAGCTGGTGGGATGGGGTCGTCTTCTGTTTGATCAAGGGCATCAAAAGTTCTGGAAAGGTAAGCTGGTGGGGTGGTGTCGTCTTCTGTTTGATCAAAGGCATCAAAAGTTCTGGAAAGGTAAGCTGGTGGGTCGTGGTCGTCTTCTGTTTGATCAAGGGCATCAAAAGTTCTGGAAAGGTAAGCTGGTGGGATGGGGTCGTCTTCTGTTTGATCAAGGGCATCAAAAGTTCTGGAAAGGTAGGCTGGTGGGGTGGGGTCGTCTTCTGTTTGATCAAGGGCATCAAAAGTTCTGGAAAGGTAAGCTGGTGAGGTCGTCTTCTGTTTGATCAAAGGCATCAAAAGTTCTGGAAAGGTAAGCTGGTGAGGTCGTCTTCTGTTTGATCAAGGGCATCAAAAGTTCTGGAAAGGTAAGCTGGTGGGGTGGGGTCGTCTTCTGTTTGATCAAAGGCATCAAAAGTTCTGGAAAGGTAAGCTGGTGGGGTGGGGTCGTCTTCTGTTTGATCAAAGGCATCAAAAGTTCTGGAAAGGTAAGCTGGTGGGTCGTGGTCGTCTTCTGTTTGATCAAGGGCATTAAAAGTTCTGGAAAGGTAAGCTGGTGAGGTGTGGTCGTCTTCTGTTTGATCAAAGGCATCAAAAGTTCTGGAAAGGTAAGCTGGTGGGGTGGGGTCGTCTTCTGTTTGATCAAAGGCATCAAAAGTTCTGGAAAGGTAAGCTGGTGGGTCGTGGTCGTCTTCTGTTTGATCAAGGGCATTAAAAGTTCTGGAAAGGTAAGCTGGTGGGGTGGGGTCGTCTTCTGTTTGATCAAAGGCATCAAAAGTTCTGGAAAGGTAAGCTGGTGGGATATGGTAGTTGCTGTTGAAATGTAACTAATTTCTATTATGGCAAACCTGAATCTCTCTGGCATTTAATGTTGATATAGAATTGGTAAAAACAACAACGGTCTAGTTAATACTGGCAGTGATTGTGGATATCAATATGTATAAGTAATCAGGTGGCATCGTACTTGTTTGTAAGTAGCCATCTTATTAAGCTGCAAATAGATATCCTACCATGTTGTTATTTGCAACCCTACAAAATTGTACATTGGGATCCAACTATATTGTAAGTTGCTATCCAACAAAGCTATACACTGTTCGTGGTATTGTTTTGATAAAATAGGATTGCTGAGTGCGTTTAACAACAGCGGTCGAATTTCATTTGATCCACTCTAGTTCGTGTCCAGACGGTGACTTCTCATTCAAAACTCATAAAAGCACATTCACACGGTTCACAAATAAAAAGCAGAATTACAGAAGGGGCGCTACTCTAACAATGTTATAGTTCGTGGCTGTCCTGGTTGTCTACCCTGTACATTTTTTTAAAATGCTACATACATCACAGTGTACGTGGTTATATTATTAAAATTCAGGATTGTATCCTATACTATTTCAACTAATGACTCTAACATTTCGCAACTGGTTTTACAAGCAGATGGGTATCTTTAAGGCATTTAATGCAACACAGTATTAAGGTACCCCACTATTTATCCCATCAGGTGGTCTACTCCACCAACACATTCGCCTAAAAGTCTCCTAACAACCTAGCGTAAAGCCCCAATATTCCCCAAAAGTACCACAACCACCCAGTATGACGCCATAAACCTGTCTCTACCACCAGGTGGTCTACTTCACCGCCACCTTCCCCTAACCAAAAACTCCCCCAACCACCCATCATGACGCCATACACCTGTCTCTACCACCAGGTGGTCTACTTCACCGCCACCTTCCCCTAACCAAAAACTCCCCCAACCACCCATCATGACGCCATAAACCTGTCTCTACCACCAGGTGGTCTACTTCACCGCCACCTTCCCCTAACCAAAAACTCCCCCAACCACCCATCATGACGCCATACACCTGTCTCTACCACCAGGTGGTCTACTTCACCGCCACCTTCCCCTAACCAAAAACTCCCCCAACCACCCATCATGACGCCATACACCTGTCTCTACCACCAGGTGGTCTACTTCACCGCCACCTTCCCCCAACATTTCCCCAACCACCCATCATGACGCCATAAACCTGTCTCTACCACCAGGTGGTCTACTTCACCGCCACCTTCCCCTACGTCATCCTCCTCATCCTCCTGGTCCGTGGTGCTCTGCTGGATGGTGCTAAAGATGGTGTGGATTTTTTCATCATCCCAGACTGGGAGAAGCTCAAGGACATTCAGGTGAGAACAAAAGGTGTTCTAATCCATACAGGAATGTAAACTACAAGAACGAATTTTTTTTTTCAAATACAAGTCACTTTTGTATTGTGTTGACATTTAAATTTTTTGGTCACGTGATACAGGTATGGGTGGCCGCTGCTGGTCAGATGTTCTTCTCCCTGAGTGTATCGTTTGGTGGTATTATCATGTTTGGTAGCTACAACAAGTTCAACAACATGGTCTACTAGTGAGTGATTCACTCGTTTTTTTTTCGGTCTTTTAGTAGGTGACTTTTTTTTGGTCTTTTATTAAGCTACTTGTTTTTGGTCTGTTTGTGAGTTTTGTTTTATGATCTACTAAGGTGCGATGTAATTCTTAGCGAAAATGGCAGAGTAACTGTTACTAGCCCAAGGATATACTTATACTAGTGGTAGAGGTTTAAATTCTGTTATTCCAATTTTGCCAGCTTTTGTTTATATAATCCTTTATGCAAAGACCAGTCTCTAATGCATTGACTAACTCTGTAAAATTTTCTAAAATATACTTCGTTACTTTAATTTATTAAAAAACTTAATTCAGTTACTTAATTATGTTGTTGAACTATCGCCCCTTCATCCTTCCCTACAGTGACTCTCTGTTGATAAGTTTCATGGATCTCATCACCAGTGTCATAGCCGGCTTTGTCGTCTTCACGACATTTGGCGGCATGGCAAAAATTGTCGGCAAAAAGGTTTCAGAAGTCGCCGATGGAGGTAAGAAATTCAACATTTTTTTAAACAGTCTATTTGAAAGCATGTACCTCTGCTTTTTGGACGTTATAAACAAATTATTTATACCGTGTCTTAGTCTTTCTCCCAAGTTTAAATGCATCAATTGTTTTGTATTCCCAGGCTACGGGATGGCGTTTGTTGTCTACCCTGAAGCCTTGTCCAACCTACCCCCCTCACAGCTGTGGTCCATTCTGTTCTTCTTCATGCTCTTTACTCTGGGGCTTGACTCAGAGGTAGGTCAAGGTTGATTTCAGATGTAGGTCAAGGTTAATCTAGCTAGGTCAAGGTTTAAATGTTCCGAAAGATTTTATCCAATAGAGACTGCAACATGTATTTTAAAAGTCCTAAAGTTTTAGCCTAACGTGTAGCCTATGTTAGATGTCTTATAGATTGTCCCTAACATGTATTTTGAATGTCCTAAATTTATAACATAACATTTATTTTGAATGTCCTAAAGCTATATCCTTACGTTTATTTTGAATGTCCTAAACTTTTAGCCTAACATATAGTCTATGTTGAATGTCCTATTGATTGTCCCTAACATGTATTATGAATGTCTTTTAGATTTATTTTAACATGTTTTTTTTTTTTTAATGTCCTAAAGTTGTAACCTAACATGTAGCTTATACTGAAAGTCCTAACATGTATTTTGAATATCCTAAAGTTGTAGCCTAACATGTAGTCTATAGATGTCCTATAGATTTTCCCTAACATGTATTATGAATGTCCTGAAGTTGTAGCCTAACGTGCATTTTGAATGACCCAACAGTTCGGTCTGATGGAGACTGTGCTGACGTGCATCCAAGACGAGTTCCCTAAGACCAGACGATACAAAAGTGCCATCTGTGTTGGACTGGCCATCGCCTGCTTCTTCCTGGCTCTACCCTGCACTTGTCCGGTAAGATCAGTGACGTCATTGGCTTCAGTTCTAGCAACAAGTCCGAGCTATAGACGAATAATTGTTTGCTAAATGATGTAGACTCGTATGTCTAGTGATCCAAAGCAAATCAACCATTAACATTGCGCCAAGTTTAATAACTCTAACTTAAAATTTAAAAATTAATTTATTCAGTAACTTTGAGCTTACATCTTTCTAGCAACGCTCAGTAAATCTTATACATCTTTTAATATTCATTCAACTATCCTTAAATCTCAAAATATCTTTTAGGCCAAAATATAACATATTATGGAAAGTTTTCTAAAATTCAGCCCCAACACCTTGCAATGTCCAGTAACTCTAAATCATGCAAAGTCCAATAACTCTAACCTGATCCTCCTCCCTCAAATACAGGGAGGCGACTACGTGGTGTCTATGATGGACCACTACGGTGCCGACTTCTCCGTTCTCTTCGTCTCTTGTATTGAAGTCGTCTCCGTCATGTGGGTCTACGGTAAGTCACTTCAACTCTTTTCCGTTTACTGGTACCATGTTCAACACTATCCATCCATAGCTCGTTACCCATGTTAAAGTAACATCAATAGTTTTCGTATGTTAAGCAAGTCTAATACGGATTAGATCCAGCATCATGATCTGGGTTATGGGGACGTTGTGGTCGAGGTATAGAATGCATACCGCTAACCAGTTGCGTCTGTGTGCTGTATTTATGTATTAGTTATTCTTATTCTGCTGCCAAACCCAGTCTTATGATAAGCCACAAAACATGATCAGCAGCTTGATTATGAACGTCTGTACTCCTGCCCTCACACCCACCCTTTCAACTTACTCATACATTCAAATTATTGCCGGGTACCCGTTTGTGCTGAGTTGATTTACAAAGATAAAAAATATTTATATTAAATCTTCGAAAATAAAATACATCATTGTTTTACCTCATTACCGTCATTTATTAATGTTTTATTCATTGTTTTCAAATGTTTCATTTAATTAATTTAATTAATCAATATCTGCAGGTGTGATGAGGTTTTTAAACGATATAAAATACATGTTGGGTGCACGACCCCATGGTTGGCCATATTGGGTGTTTTGTTGGGCTGTGTCCGCTCCTCTTCTTATAGCAGTAAGTAGCCATCGTTTTCTCATCATGTCCACCATGTCCACATTATGTCCACATCATGTCCACATCATGTCCACATCATGTCCACATCATGTCCACATCATGTCCACATCATGCTCAAATAATGTCCACATCATGTCCACATCATGTCCACATTATGCTCAAATAATGTCCACATCATGTCAACATTATGCTCAAATAATGTCCACATCATGTCAACATTATGCTCAAATAGTGTCTAAATAGCCACATCATGCCCACACCATGTCTACACCATGTCTACACCATGTCCACACCATGTCCACATGTCTACATCATGTCCACATTATGTCCACATCATGTCCACATCAATCCCACCCTGAATGGCAATAAATTACCATATCTTTCTTGTGCTGCTGGATAATTTATTGAATTCCCCCCCCCCCTTCAACCATCACAAGATATAAAACAGCTTTTAGGCCTAAATCCATTCCCTTTAATTTCAGTTAGAAGCTGAACTTATATTTTTCCCAGTATTGTTTAAAACATAATTCACCATGTAATCAAAAAGTTAACACCCTGTAAGTGGCGTAGCGAGGTCGGGTGTCACCCGGTGCGGCACTTAATGGTGTCACCCCCCCCCCCCCAGAGGCGTAGCAACCCGGGGACAAACTTTCAAATTTTCGATTTGCACCCCCCCCCCACCTCAAATTTTCGATTTGCACCCCCCCCCTCAAATTTTCTATTTGCACACCCCCCCCCCCCCTCAAGTTTTTCTCTATATATTTTGCTATTTTTGCCTGGTGTCACCCCCCCCCCCCTAAATGGTGTCACCCGGTGCGGTTCGCACCCCCGCCACCCCCCCCCCTCGCTACGCCTCTGCACCCTGCTGTTCCTTTTTTTTCACCCTACTATGTTCCAATGTTCCCTTGTTATTTCAGGCCATGTTCATGTATCGTATGGTCCGCTACAAGCCACCGACGTACGACAACGGCGACCCTATCCCAATGTTCGCCCAGTCTATAGGCTGGACACTGTTGAGTGTCGTCCTGTGCCCCATCCCCCTCTGGTTCCTGTGGAAGTCCTTCACCTCATGGAGGGACCCAGCAGTCACATCTTTCAGTAAGGTGAGTTCAAACTCTGGCATTAAACCTGGTGAACAGGGGTCGTGCAGGTATGACTTAACATACAGTTTTGATATTTTTAATTTACACTAAACTCAATGGGATATTATAGCGCCTATTTCTTAGTCACAGACTAATTTCAAATTATTTTTTTGCGAATATCAGCAACATTTGTTTAAGATAATTGTTTTCAACACCCTATACAAGATGATTTGAATAAGGCGACGTCCATAAATGACGTCACTCGTAGGGGGGAGGGGGGCCCGTAATTTTGTGACTGTATGATGAAGGGGAGGGGGGGTCAGATGGTGTGACGTCACACTTTTACATTATAAAAAAGCAATGTTATAAAACGAGTATTAGCCGTTATTTCGGGTTTTAGAAAACTGTTTTAATAAATTGTAATAGGAATTTATTAAAATACTCTATGTTGACAGAGTTCAGACAAGATTGTGGGAAACTGAAATTTTGAAGGGGGGGGGGGGGTTGTAAGCTGAGGTGTGACGTCATTTTAGGGGGGGGTCTGGCTTTTTGTGACATGTGTGACGGAGGGGAGAGGGGGGAGGTAAAAATCGTCAAAAAAAGCGTGACATTATTTATGGATGACCGCTTAGTGGTTTAAAAACAAATATGAACTTTGCTGTGGTGTTTTCTTTACAGTGGAGGAAAAGCATGTTCGAGCCAACAACAGAATGGGCGCCCAACGACAAAAAAGCCATCTACCGCCCTGACGACCCCACTAAAGACGTCATCAAAATGGAAGCAGGCGTTGAGAACCCCGTGCCAGTTACAGACGACTACGCTGAATATAAAACGACCTCCTTTCCCAGTTAAGCCAATCTTGGAATCCCTGAGACCTGCTTCACAAAATTCCCCCACAGCTGTTCATTCAACAAACCCGACCACTGAGGTGATTTCGTCTAAATGACGTCTCGTCTTACTAAAGAGTTAGTTGTACAGAAGCTGCTAACGCCAGTGGTTCAACTTAATGTAAATATGACTCGATTGTTCAGAGTTTATACATGATCTGAAGTATTGTTGCGTGCAATTCTGCTGGTATTTGTATATATGTTGTATATGCACCGAATTTAAAAGTATTGAGATAAATTTTTGTCACCAAAATTATGTGTATTATAATCTCACTCACCAATATGAAAACAGTGATTATTAGCCACAATGAGATCGAGCTTACAATATACATAGCAACATTTCTGAACAGGATCAGGATAAGCCCGCTTAATTAGCTAGCATGAAACCACATAAGTAAGTATCAGAATAAGCCCATTTTACTAGTTTGTAACCACGTTAGATAACTCTGAACAGTCTCATTATGGTCCTGATAGCAAATAGTGTTTCTTTCAGGCGCCCCCTCCCACCTCAGATCAAAATAGAATGTATATAGAAAAACTTTTACCTCCCAAAATGTTCAATTGCCCCCCCCCCCCCCCAGTCCGTAAGAAAAATAAAGTCTGTGAGAAACACGAATCTTACTGTACCTATAGCACATCATGAAGTCTTGATTACACATTTTGTGTTCCTTTTAGTTATAGCACATTTTAAGATCAGGCCATTGGGTCAGTGTTGAAATAGCTAGTCATTTGTTCTTGGAGAAATCTGGTCTTTTAGAAAACTGACAGTTGTTTTTAACACTAATGTAAATAATAGAAGCAAACAAAATTTTAACGAATTTTACACAAATGCTTTTTTAATCTTCTGTTAGATGATTATTATTGTAATTCTGTACTTTGAATGTTCAGCCAATTCACAACTATTAATTAGAATTTATATTTAGTGCTGACTCACACCTCAATCCAATTCCATGAAATTAATGTTGATTCAACTATTCCATGAAATTAATGTTGATTCAACTATTCCATGAAATTAATGTTGATTCAACTATTCCATGAAATTAATGTTGATTCAACTATTTAATGAAATTAATGTTGATTCAACTATTCCATTAAATTAATGTTGATTCAACTATTCCATGAAATTAATGTTGATTCAACTATTTAATGAAATTAATGTTGATTCAACTATTTAATGAAATTAATGTTGATTTAACTATTCAATGAAATTAATGTTGATTCAACTATTCCATGAAATTAATGTTTATTCAACTATTCCATGAAATTAATGTTGATTCAACTATTCCATAAAATTAATGTTGATTCAACTATTCCATGAAATTAATGTTGATTTAATTATTCAATGACATTAATGTTGATTCTACTATTTAATGAAATTAATGTTGATTCAACTATTCCATGAAATTAATGTTGAATCAGCTTTAATCTAGATGTTTCATTCAGTGTAATTAATGTTGAGTCATTTTAATTTTTAAATCTACCTGTTTCATTCCATACAATTAATCCTCAAGTACGGTTGTGACCATAGTTAGATCTTTCTAGACATACATTCTACAACTATTTTTAATGCATTTTTAAGTAGGGTCTAAATTCAAATTATTTTTAACATCATTTTCTTATATATATATTAGCACAAGTTTTTATACACAAAATAAATTTTATTTTTTGAAGAATTTTATTTTTACTTTAATTTGAATAAATATTTATATGCATAAATATCTGCATCACTATGAGTTACATAGCGCATACATCCTATTTATTAGTTTCATATACTTACTTCTGAACAATGCAGGATTACTAGTTAATTTAATTTCAGTGAAAGTTCTTTTCTATGAATGAACATTGTATTGTAAACTTAACATTATCCAAATATTTGAGCAACTGATGTACATAAAATAAACGAAACGTTATATTTTTCTTTCCTTGCTCTTGGCGTTATTTTTTTTACACAAATCCTTACTTTCATGCGGTATTTTTACTCTGTATTGGCATTTTATTCTCATTTTGCAGTTTTTCTTTGGTCTATCAGTTGTATTGTCTTATTGTTCTTTGGTAATCTCATGTTAATGTCTGTTAGAGAAAAGGGTCTGCTGTTAGTGATGCTACATCTTGTGCTGTATAAATTTTTGTTAATCTCATGTTAATGTCAGATAGGGAAAAGCTATCCTATCTACTGTTAGTGATGCTACATCTTGTGCTGTATAAGTTAGAGTAGTCTCTCTTGTAAAACTGATTTCTAACAACTTCATTATCTAGCTATAAAAACCGTCAGGTTATTTCCTTTACAACGGGATAACTTAATTTAGTGTGTCAGGATAGGCCTAAACTTTGTGTGTCAGGATAGGCCTAAACTTAGTGTGTCAGGATAGGCCTAAATTTAGTGTGTCAGGATAGGCCTAAACTTAGTGTGTCAGAATAGGCCTAAACTTAGTGTGTCAGGATAGGCCTAAACTTAGTGTGTCAGGATAGGCCTAAACTTAGTGTGTCAGGATAGGCCTAAACTTAGTGTGTCAGGATAGGCCTAAACTTAGTGTGTCAGGATAGGCCTAAACTTAGTGTGTCAGGATAGGCCTAAACTTAGTGTGTCAGGATAGGCCTAAACTTAGTGTGTCAGGATAGGCCTAAACTTAGTGTGTCAGGATAGGCCTAAACTTTGTGTCAGGATAGGCCTAAACTTTGTGTGTCAGGATAGGCCTAAACTTTGTGTGTCAGGATAGGCCTAAACTTACATCTACTACACATGCCTCATCCTGGATTAGCCTGAAAGTATAAACTAACTACTTGACAGATTCAAAGTATTGCTGGACTAGTCTAAACTTGACATAACCCTAGCAAAGCTTTCATTGACTTGAAGCTACACAAACTTCCCACCTTATCTACACGTGAACAAGGCTTCAGCTTGAGCAAGAACAAACACCTTGTTGAATACAAAATTTGATACATTTATTCTTTTCAATTCTAAACCTGGTAAGTTTTCATTAACCTTTCTGGATTTTTGCTTCTAAAGAATGAACCTGTATGGCATTGGACAAGACAGCATAATGTCAGACCCACCCACACATACAAATCATTGACAACATAGAGTTTTCATGGCTTCATGATATATTGTTATCAAATCTAGGCATTAATTTAATACAGGATACAATGAGGAAAACATGGATTTCTTTGGTTTTTTTTTCTCCAGACAATCACAATATTAACATGGCTACAACAATCTTAAAGTGGGGGAGGGGGAGATATGCTTCAAGTGTACAGACCAATCAAGGGACATAATTAATAAACAAAATCAACATCTATTAATAGCTTTAGAACTTGTTTAAGTGATAGATGGTGAAGCAATTTTTTTAAACTTTACATTTGCTTAAATGTGATGGTAAATGTTAGAATTTATATCAAATTTTACCAAAAAAAAATAATTCTATAGGTTTTATGAGTTTTTATTTTACCCTGAAAAATATTCCAATTCAAACTGTATTTATTAAAAAAAAAATTTGCACTCACTGACTACAATTTGTTGAAAATGGATTTGTATAAACCATAAGATAATTATATCCAACTTCAAATTTAACAAAAAAAAATGTAAAATTCTGGTAGGGGCAATGAAGCAGCATTATTTTTCCAATAAAACATACACAAAAAAGAGAACCAAAAAATTTGGTTATTTATACCAAGCTAAAAAAAAAAAAGACGGAAAAGCATCAAGAAATAAATGAGACAATACCAGCATGCCATCAAATAAAACAAGAGGATGAATTAAGATCAAGTAAATGCATGTTACTACAACTGCTCACTACTGACAGCAGATCTAAGCATTGTCAATTTGACAAAGTAAAAAAAAAACATAAATAAATATAAAATATAATGCTGTCTTCCATTGATTTTGGTAACCACTAAAATATTTAAATAATGAGATGCAAATTTTAAAACATTTGATATCAACAGATAAATACATAAAAAATGATTTTTTTTTAAAAATTAATTTCTTAAAAATTTTTACCATTAAATGAAATGGAACAAATATTGATACAAATCAGACAGTACTGTATAATAGCAACATTTGTTTTTTCATGATTGTCATTATAATACTCCAGCAAGAACTAGTGTAACAGGATTCTTAGGATAGCAGTAAGGAGTTTAACAAACAGTTACCACCCCAACAGTGCCGGATTAACTCTTCGAGGTGGGTTGTTTAAACTATAAAGGTGGATAATTAAACTATAGAGGTGGATTAACTAAACAATAAAGGTGGATTAACTAAACTATAGAGGTGGATTAACTAAAATTCCCAAATACTTCTCTTAGATTTAAAAATAAAGTTTAAGAAGGGCAAAAAAGTCTCTGCAGCCCTAGACCTCTACCTTTTTACCATAGACCAACCCTTCATGACAGCAGACCAACCCTTCATGACTACAGACCAACCCTTCATGACTACAGACCAACCCTTCATGACTACAGACCAACCGTTCATGACTACAGACCAACCCTTCATGACTACAGACCAACCGTTCATGACTACAGACCAACCCTTCATGACTACAGACAACCCTTCATGACTACAGACCAACCCTTCATGACAGCAGACCAACCCTTCATGACTACAGACAACATTTCATGACTACAGACCAACCCTTCATGACTACAGACCAACCCTTCATGACTACAGACAACCCTTCATGACTACAGACCAACCCTTCATGACTACAGACCAACCCTTCATGACTACAGACAACCCTTCATGACTACAGACCAACCCTTCATGACTACAGACAACCCTTCATGACTAAAACCCAACCCTTCATGACTACAGAACAACCAACCCTTCATGACTACAGACAATCCTTCATGACTACAGACAACCCTTCTTGACTACAGACCAACCCTTCATGACTACAGACAACCCTTCATGACTACAGACAACCCTTCATGACTACAGACCAACCCTTCATGACAGCAGACCAACCCTTCATGACTACAGACAACATTTCATGACTACAGACCAACCCTTCATGACTACAGACAACCCTTCATGACTACAGACCAACCAACCCTTCATGACTACAGACCAACCCTTCATGACTACAGACAACCCTTCATGACTACAGACCAACCCTTCATGACTTCAGACAACCCTTCATGACTTCAGACAACCCTTCATGACTACAGACCAACCCTTCATGACTACAGACCAACCAACCCTTCATGACTACAGGCAACCCTTCATGACTACAGACCAACCCTTCATGACTTCAGACAACCCTTCATGACTACAGACCAACCCTTCATGACTACAGACAACCCTTCATGACTACAGACCAACCAACCCTTCATGACTACAGACCAACCCTTCATGACTACAGACCAACCCTTCATGACTACAGACCAACCAACTCTTCATGACTACAGACCAACCAACTCTTCATGACTACAGACCAACCAACCCTTCATGAATACAGACCAACCCTTCATGACTACAGACCAACCCTTCATGACTTCAGACAACCCTTCATGACTACAGACCAACCCTTCATGACTACAGACCAACCCTTCATGACTTCAGACAACCCTTCATGACTACAGACCAACCCTTCATGACTACAGACCAACCCTTCATGACTACAGACCAACCCTTCATGACTACAGACCAACCCTTCATGAATACAAACCAACCCTTCATGATTAAAGACCAACCCTTCTAGCCTACAGCCCAACCCCACCTGCTAGTTAATCCGACACTGCCTATACCCACACAACTACACAACACTAAAATATGAATGACTAACATCGACCTTCACAGACAGACTTCAAGCTTTGTAAAAATAAAAATCACAATCAAATCATGACGATGGGACTACATAGATAAATACCACTGGGGCTGAAAAAAAACATCAAATACATTAAAATAGAAATAATTTATGGATTGTCTTTTAAAAATATTTTCTCTTATAAAGCTATAGCCCGGGACAAAGGATAAATATGGTATGTTACATTATGATAAAAAAACCACTTGATATTTTTTTACAAACACAACAGTGGCACAATTCTGGCCAAACTTGTTTAAAGCTACATTATATGATAAATAAATAACTGCTCTTCAACAGCAAAGAGTAAAAACAGTATTACCAACCCAATACACTTCGGTAATGAAACCTGCTTTAGGTTGAATGAATCTAAAAAGAACAAAGCTACGCTGCATTCGTGTGTGTAAGAATCAGGTGTACAATTTTGGTAAGGCTATCTTTGTGCTAGATTTTACAGAGACAGACCTTTTTGTTACACAACATTCACATTGTGGAAGTAGCTAACAGTTCAGGCAGTTAAAAAATAATGTGAAGATCATATAAATATAAATTGTTCAATAATACTTTTTTTTAAAATCATGTATTACATTTGCTAAACATTTCTCTTGTTTTGATATAAATTAACATAAAATTTTTAAAACAAAAATTTAGAAATAGAAAAAATATGAATAAGTTATTTAATATTTTTATATGATAACTCCAACCTCCCTTTTGCTGTACATCTAAATGCAGAAACAGATGCAACTATAATCAATGGTACAACAACAAATTCAATACAAATCATTTGTTTTTGTGTTCTGATGAAATGCAATTGAAATAAAATATGGTTAAGATGTCAGTTCTATGGATAGTTTGCATACTATTATTCAAATACTTTTAAAAAAGAAACAACAAGAGCACAATAAAAAAGCTTTGTGGAGCAACTACATATCATATCTCTATCTGCTGGTGGCAGTACAACAAAGGAAGAAAAAAAAAACACTTCATCATCACAAAATAATCACAAGCAAATATACAGCCCAAACAATAGGAAACTGAACAATAAATACTGTAAGACTTCATTTGGTGTCAGGTAAAAAAAACATATCTTTGGTATAGCTCTAACTGACTTGGTGTATATATCATGAAAAAAAAACAAAAAAAAAAAAAAAAAACACTTTCAATGAATGATACAAAGAAGAAAATGGAGTAGGACTAACCCCGCAATACTGTAGTGTGCTGCCTGTATTGGCAAACAAACAATAACACAAACTACCACAAGACACAAGAAGTCTTGCTGTATTCACAATACATTCCTTCATACAGCTACAAGGGTTTGTCCATGATAAACATCACACTTTTTTGACAATTTGAATTTCTTGGCAATTTAACACCACCCTTCTCCATCATCAAAACATGTCAGACCCCCACCCCCACTAAATGATTTGCACTGCAGACCTATTCCCAAACTAAGTAGTCATTACTAAATGTATTGACCCATTTTTACAGGAATTTACAAGAATATTAAAAATTTAAAACAATTGCTAAAAATTTCTCATTATTTAAAAATTATTTTTTTAAATTGTTAACTTGTGATGATATACTTTCTGAATTCCCCCCATCCATAAGTGTGATGTCATTTACAGACCACTCCATACTGTCCTATTGTGTTCACAAAATATTCCTTCAAAAACAATGATGTAGTCCTTTAATAAAAATATTTCCTTCAAACAAGTTCCATTTCTCCCCCAGCTCAGTCACACCATCATCAGCATAAAATAATTTTCTTTACAACTAAAATCAAACACTACCAAATTAAAAGTACTTGTAAGCATTAAACATGTGCTCTCCTCTTTAGAGATTAAAAAACTTGTCAACAAAACAGCCACATGAAAAAAGACACAAATTCAGCAATTACAAAAATTAATGTTTTGTGTCATATCTCTATATCAAGGTAAACAAATTCCCAGATTCCCCAAGATCACCCCATAGATGAAAAAAAAAAACTCTGTTGCTAGGAGACCGTGTAAACAGTTCAGTAGCAACCCATTAAAGCTAGTAAAAATTTTAGATTTTAAAAATCGTTGTAACAGTACAGAAAAAAATAATCACAAAATGAGAAAAAAAAATGTAATTCTTTGGTTTGGTTTGGAATCATTTTTTCAGATATCCAGGCACGGCTGACCGACACCTTCAACAACTCTTCAAAAATATGGATACAAAAAATGTCTTTAAAAATGTACAAAACACACACACAAATGCTATAGGTATGTAGATAAAGGGTTCCCAGTCTAAGATTTCAGTGAAACATCTGACCATACTTAGCAAGAATTAGATGTAAAAACAGTATAAGCGAACATGTAATATATTAGTCAGATAATGTACAAGTATAGATACACAAGTTACAGCTTTGGTATATGTATATGTGCAGATAGATTCACTAGTCTTATAAAAACACCATTGGAAAAAACTTTTTTAACACATTTTTCTTCTTCCAGATCATTTATCTAATTTTAATTTTTCTAAAATAAATAGTTCTTAAAGCGTTTTTAATATTTCACCGGTTACTGCATTAAATTCCTAAATCGCAATTGTATATTTTTGGGGGAAAGTAAGTTCTACTATAGGTCAGGTAACCATGAAATAGCTAGTGAGGATAACTTTCAGACATTCTCAGAGTCCACTCAGCTCTGTTGAGTACTTGGCTCAAGTTGGGGTATAGTAAAGTTGGCTGGGAATTTTACTGTCTCTTATTATGCAGACAGCTCTACTTCTGCACTATGAACTTAAAAGTTCTGGGAGGATATTTTACATTTTCTATTAGCACTCTGGAGTTGCAACTTGGCAAAGTTAAAATGAGTAGTACATTCATAAAGCAGTTTCAGGATAAAGATACTAGATGCTAACTACAAGTGCAAATAAATACAAAAAACAGCACACATATTTTCAACTCTATTGACATCAAGATCTAGTGCATGAAAATCTGGTTTCCCTGTTAAATGTTGAATTCTTTTAACAAAATTCTGATGTTTTAGATTCTTGGCCAGTGTAAACTATCTTACAGACCCCCTCTAACTCAAATATAATACATTTTAAAGTAAATATTGGACGCTAAAGTACTTAAAATAGTCATATTTTTAAGCATTAATACATTTTAAATTATATCTATTTTTATTTCATGATTGCTTTTTAAATTTAAGTTTCACACTCAAGAAACCATTATATGTATGGAATCAGAGAATAAAATAAAAATATGCTTTAGACTTTACAGTGTGATGAAAGAAAAAATTTACCCGGCTTAATTTAAGAAACAAATTGAGAAACATAGCTCAGCATGTTGAGTGTAAAAAGAAAGCCGAAATCTCCATAAGAAAACCCTTTATCTACATCAGCAACTTGCTCCAACAGCTTGGGAGAAGCAGTGTCAACCTTGAATAACCAAGTTTTGATTGCTGGACAATGGCAAGTAGGATAATGCTTGTGGAATAAATATGTCATCTATGATCCAATCGATGAACAAAACAAACAAACAATGCAACAATAAAAATATTCTTAATGCTATTTGGCAGTAAAAGTTGATTGTACATTTTGATTGTGAATGCTTAAAAAAACATTACAAATTCACTACTATTTCACAAGACAGACTTGTTAAAGAAAAGTTATATGTATAAAATCTCTTATCTTAGCTTACAAGAGACTGCTGTGTATTCAAACATGGCATTAAGCATATATGTACAGTAGGATAAATAACCAATGGTACTAATTATACACTCATAACCACGATAGGAATAAGTGAGTTCTAAATATATACTGATACAAATACATAATATATTATTTTGATGGACACAAAACCCCATACAATATGAATACATAGATTTGTTTTTATGTATGATAAATCTGTTTACATGTGTCACAGGATTTCATAAGACTAGGTAGCTCACGTGGAAAAAAAATGTTTTAAAATGTAAATAAAAACAACATTGACAACAATATTGATTGTTCCGCCTGGTTAAACCCCAGGGTTGGTACTGGTAGAGGGAGGTCCGTGGAACCAGCAGACCGGAAACCTGGACATTAGTGTGCAGATTTCAACATGCTGGATAGTAAAGAATACTCTTTGGATAAAGCCTCGTCGTCAAGCGAGACGGACGACGGTGGCACAATTCTGCCGTCAAGCATGACAGAAGATGGCGGCACAATTCTGCTGATGTTTTCCTCCTCACCACATTTGTGACGTGGCCTGGCTTCCTCCCTGGCCAGGTAGGCGTCGGTGCTGGTGCATCCCATGGTGACTGGCGAGGCAGTGGAACTGGACTTATCCTCCTCAAACAACATGCCTTCGTGTTTCTGTTTGACGCCAGTGGGAGGGGAGGTGGGGGTGGATGACGATGGTTTAACAACACAGGACTGATCAGCCCTGAGCATCGATGACGACAATGCACAATGTTTGACACAAACTGAATCCGATACATTTAAATCCAGGAGGAAATTGGGCAAGTTGACCGCTGCACCAGATTCTGCTTTATCCACGTCCAGTTTCCCATTGACAAGTTTACTTTTAGACAAATCCTTCGGACTAGACAAAGTTTTGTCCAGCTTCGGACATTTGCTCGGGGATGGGGAGTAATCCATATCCTGCTGGTCAGTAGTTCGGTTTGACTTTTGCGGGGAACACGGCCTCTCAGTTCCAGAGTTGAGTGAGACACCCTCCTCAGGTTCACCGTCCTCCCTCCTGACCGAGCTGGACACAGAACAGTCCGACCGGTCTCTGCTGTTCTTCCCCGGGGACCCCTCCCCGTACAGGGAGGTTTCCGTGGATGAGTTAGCTTCCAGTATCAGAGTACCAGAATCACAAACAGGACTAGATTTTTTCAGGTTGGCCTGGGCTATCCGCAGCAGATCCGCTTCGTTCCTCACCACCCACCTCAGCTTGCCCACTGACATGATCTCAATCTCCTGGTCACCAAACAAGAGGAGGTTCTTCTCATACCTGGCTTTGGATATGTTCAACTCGTGGGACTTGGACCCACATTCTGGATATGTTTCATGGACAGAGTTCTCAACGTCTTTCTTTGGGTTCTCCACATCCTTCTCATTGGCTTTCAGAGAGCTGGCTGGGAACTTCTCACTCGAGGCTCTGGTTTGAGATTTACTGCCTTTACTGTGGCTCCCTCTAGACCCGCGTCTGCTGGTCTCTTTAGTCACATGGTTCTGATGGTTGGCCTGAGATGGTGCTGGCTGGTTGGGGACAGATTTTTTGGGCAGTTCTTTCACTGGGCTGCTACTCTTCTCCCTGCTCGTTTTGTCAGCTGGTTCTGATTTGACTTTATTAGGCGAGGACAGATCTAAGGGGGTGGGGATGCTCATGTTGGCTGCAGCGGCCGCCGCTATGGCAACCGTTCCAGCTCCGCTCCACATTGGCTGCAGGGGGAAGTAACTCATCATGAACGGCTGGGATGCAAGGTGCGGGGCGGCAAACCGTGGGTTGGCTGCCATGATGGAGGCAGTAGCAGAAGACAAACCTCTGTCTGGAAGATTGTAATCGTACACTGGAGATAGAATTGGGTTGTATGGGAGGGGGAAGAGTGAGGCATTGGGTGGGGCGACTGGGGATGGCCTGGAGTTGGCCGTGGCTGAAGAGAGAGCGGAAAGATTAGTTTTACTTCCAGCAGAGCCGCGGGTCGCAGTGGACGCGGTGGGGCTCCAGCCGTCTCTAGTACCAGACTTCCTGCCCCGTCTTCTGACCGGCGTCTGGTGGACGCTCCCTGCGGTGGAGACTGGCGGGGTGCAGGGGGACGTTGAGGTTTGCTGCGGTTGTCGCTGTTCTTCACAACTGGTTGCTGGGGGCTGGCAAGAAATGGCTGGAGAGGTGGGCTTGTCTAGACTGGGCATGGAGAACCAGCTGGGCTTGTGTATGGTCAGGTTACTGGCTTTCTCTTCCTGCTGTTTCACTTCTGAGTCCTGCTCTTTCTCTTCAGGTGCTGGAGGCTTTGCTAACTTTGTCCACAGCAATGACGACACAGAGTTGGACGAGTTCTGCGGGACCGTGTCACTCAGTAAACTTGCCCCGTGAGATAAATTAGATATGACATCATTGAGACTAGGCCTTGCATTTTCTGATTTTGATTTTTTAACAACCAAGTCAGACGTTGGACCCGAACTTGCACTTTTTTTACTTCCTAGGTCACGTCCGTTAACAACAGAATCTCCTTCCAGACCCTCCTTGCTGGAGACAACATCTTTCTTGCCTAGTGTAATAACCATCAGCTCCTTCTCCTCAGTACAGACCCCATTACTCCCACTGTCCTCATACTCCTGTTTGACAACAATGACATCCCCATCATATGGCACATCACAACCAACAGTTAATGGCGTACTTTTACCATTGTCCGTTTCCTCTTTCACGACCAGAGTTACAGATAAATTATGACTAGAATCTACTGCGGCCTTGACCTGTGTGTCCAGGGAAGTAGCGCTGACAATGACCAGGGGTTTCTCTGGGGCAGACTTAGCGGCATCCTCCCCAGACTTGGCCTGTTTGTCTGCGTGGGGGCCTGTCTTGGACAGGTCAACGGACCCTGACCTGGGTTGACAATCAGGTTTGGGGCTGTGAGCCGAGTTGGAAGGTGAGGTGGACAGGTCCACGGTCATGTGAGGCATGGTGGCGATGTACCTCTGCATGGCTTCTGCGTCCAGTCCCAGCTCGTCCATCTGAAGGGCAGAATAAAATGTTAGCATGGGGTACAATACATGGCACTACATGCACTAACAAAGTACAAACAAAACATAATGGGACAGACATGGTAAAAACACGGTACTAGATAGTACAAATAGGGTAAACATGGTACTCAAAATATTCTATACACATAGTACTAACAAGGTACAAACATTTACATATAAACTACAGACATGGTACAAATGCAGTAAAAACATGAGGCAAATAAATATACTTATGACAAACATAAAATATACCTACAAATAAAGTTGTGAGTGTAATACAAACATCAAAGTAGAAATAAATCAAAACACATGAACAAATTTAACAATAATAAACACCCCATACTCCTTTAAAGTGACTATTTTTTATTTTTTTTCTCTTCCATTAATTTAGTCTTGAATGTACAGTAGAAAAATATGCTGCTGCTAAACAATGATTGCAATTATAGGTTAGAGGGGAGACTAAATAACAAAACACACAGTATCCTACCTCATCCCCATCCCCTCCTATATCATATCCTCTGCGGTGTGTCAGGGTTTTATCTCGAATAATCCGGTTGATGGATGAAATGCTGGGTATGTTCTTCTCCGAGCACACGTTGTCCTGTAGCAGTCTGTGATCAAACAATAACCTATTGCATGACAGTGACATTTGACAAGCACAGAAAAATACTTCTAATTTGATTTACAAATGGCAATTCTATTAGATCTCAAGATATAAATTACATTCTCACATTAAAGTTAAGATAAAACAACCTTAAGCTTTTGGTAAACAACCTACACTGAATAAATAAACCATAAAAAAGTGTTCAAAACACTAGCTCATTTTTTTTATAATTATAATACAAATTTATTAAAGATAAAAGGCTAAACTCCCCAACTAACCAATGAAAGGCTACCAACTTTTGTCTAATCTCCCCAACAAACTAATGAAAGGCTACAAACATTTGTCTAATCTCCCCAATGAAAGGCTACCAACTTTTGTCTAATCTCCCCAACAAACCAATGAAAGGCTACCAACTTTTGTCTTATCTCCCCAACAAACTAATGAAAGGCTACCAACATGTGTCTAATCTCCCCAACAAACCAATGAAAGGCTACCAACTTTTGTCTAATCTCCCCAATGAAAGGCTACCAACTTTTGTCTAATCTCCCCAACAAACCAATGAAAGGCTACCAACTTTAATCTCCCCAACAAACCAATGAAAGGCTACCAACTTTTGTCTAATCTCCCCAATGAAAGACTACCAACTTTAATCTCCCCAACAAACCAATGAAAGGCTACCAACTTTTGTCTAATCTCCCCAACAAACCAATGAAAGGCTACCAACTTTTGTCTAATCTCCCCAACAAACCAATGAAAGGATACCAACTTTTGTCTAATCTCCCCAACAAACCAATGAAAGGCTACCAACTTTTGTCTAATCTCCCCAACAAACCAATGAAAGACTACCAACTTTTGTCTAATCTCCCCACCAAAGCAATGAAAGGCTACCAACTTTTGTCTAATCTCCCCAACAAACCAATGAAAGGCTACCAACTTTTATCTAATCTCCCCAACAAACCAATGAAAGACTACCAACTTAACTCTAATCTCCCCAACAAACCAATGAAAGGCTACCAACTTTTGTCTAATCTCCCAAGCAAACATCTGAGGGTTGTCCATCTTGTACTGCTTGACCATGCTGACCACATCAGGGGTTGTCACCTTGGGTTTGCTGCCACCTATCTGGCCGGGGTTGATGCTGCCAGTCTTTCTGTACCTGCAACATTTTACAGAGGTTTATTTAAGGTAACACTAGGCAGTTCACAGAAAACAGATGAATTAACAAAATTAATAAAACCACACAATTAACAGAGAACAGACGAATAACAAGTTAACAAAACCATACAGTTTACAGAGAACAGATGAATTAGCATGTTAACAAAACCACAGTTAACAGAGAACAGATGAATAACATGTTTACAAAACAATACAGTTTACAGAGAACAGATGAATTAGCATGTTAACAAAACCACAGTTAACAGAGAACAGATAAATAACATGTTAACAAAACCACACAATTAACAGGAACAGATGAATAACATGTTAACTATACAGTTAACATGAACAGATGAATAACATGATAACTATACAGTTAACAGAGAACAGATAAATAATGTTAACAAAACCACACAATTAACAGAGAACAGATGAATAACATGTCAACGCCACAGTTCAAACCCACCTGTTGAGTATCTTGCTCACACAACCATGTGACACCTGCAACTGGCGACTAATCTCACAAGGACGGATCCCCTGCAGTGCCAACTGCAAGATCTGAACCCTCAGATGGTCAGGCAGAGGTCGGCCGTTTGTGAACTCTCTGCCATACTGGTTGATGTTCCTACCACCTGGTCAAAGAGATGTCAACACTGCTCACCATGGGCTAAACTTACTGTAATAACTTGTTGTATTGAACTAATTGAACTAATTATCTAAGCTATTAATTAGTGGATTATCCTATCATGTAATTTAATGGTTTAACTTCTCCTAACATGAGCATGGGAACACTGATCACAATCTCTTCCAATGGAAAAGGTAAATTTCATCTGCCCAATGGTCAGAAAAGTCCTTTATTTCACTTGCTCAAAAGGGTTTAGATAACCAATTCATTAACTTGCTAAAAGTAATCAACCATTGGTAAATAGTTTCAAGATTTTATATCTAAAGATCTGCATTCAAAATGTCTTAATTAAACAAAATAAATAACAAAAGATATTATTAATATATTATTTGATACACAGGTATGAGTTGAAAAATTCAAAATGTGAAAAAAAAAAGTTTTTGAAGGGAAAAACTTCAAGCTGAACATTTCAGGAGGTGAAAGTAACAAAAAATTAACACCTCAAAAAGTGGAACAAACACAAGATGAACAAAACACAAAGCAAACACTTGAGGAGGTGTAACAAACTTGTCCTTACTACCAGAGTGTCGTATCCTGCCTTTCCCTTCCTTCTTGGTGCTGTCAGAGCCATCATCATCAGCATAGCCACCGTCATCCAGGTCAAAACTGTCGTCACTGCCATCCTCACCTCCCCCACCCCCACTCAAAGCTGCTGGTGTTGAGGTTGGGGGTGCAGCATTCTCCCCATCTTTAGATTCACCAGCCTGGAAGTTCAATCAAATGTGGATCTATTTAACCAATGATACCCATTTGCAACAAAAAAACATAGGAAATAGGCAAGGAACTTAAAAGATTCATGAAAGACTAGTGTTGATATACATGCATATCTATAATATAAGATTTACAAAGACTATTGTTGACCTAAATACATATTATCCAAAAACACAAGAGAAAGACATCTATTTAACATTCAAACCACTGGCAAAAACTGTTTATCAGCATACAATGCCAGCCAACTTATCACTAGCTGGGAAGTGCTATAGCAACTAATGGACTTCAAGAAAATGACTAAACAATCAATACTGACAAAGGTTCTGACTGATAATATCTGACAATCGAAATACAAAAATTTTCTGGATGAACTAAAGAATGCAGAGATGTTGGTCTGGAAGACATCAAAATACACAGCTGGGGAATGGCCAGAGGGCGATAATAGTTGAAGCCCTATACTCAACAAGGGGTTCAGGGGACTATGTCTAGTCAACTAAGAATAAATAGCTTGTCTGCCACTTTTCTCTTTTTTATACCCAGTTCAGCTCCAACCTGTTTACACAAATATTAAACTACAACTGCAACAGTCCACCTTAGTGTAGGCATATATAACACTAACACTGCACAACAATATAACCCAAAAATCCCTTTAAAAAGCTTCATTAAGTCTATCAAAGCCGCGCTCCCTCCTTTACCTGAAACCAATCCCTGTACCAAGTTGACTGACCTGCTGTGTGGCTATGACCAACAACCCCTGTAACAAGTTGACTGACCTGCTGTGTGGCTATGACCAGCTACCCCTGTACCAAGTTGACTGACCTGCTGTGTGGCTATGACCAGCTACCCCTGTAACAAGTTGACTGACCTGCTGTGTGGCTATGACCAGCTACCCCTGTACCAAGTTGACTGACCTGCTGTGTGGCTATGACCAGCTACCCCTGTACCAAGTTGACTGACCTGCTGTGTGGCTATGACCAGCTACCCCTGTACCAAGTTGACTGACCTGCTGTGTGGCTATGACCAGCTACCCCTGTACCAAGTTGACTGACCTGCTGTGTGGCTATGACCAGCTACCCCTGTAACAAGTTGACTGACCTGCTGTGTGGCTATGACCAGCTACCCCTGTACCAAGTTGACTGACCTGCTGTGTGGCTATGACCAACAACCCCTGTACCAAGTTGACTGACCTGCTGTGTGGCTATGACCAGCTACCCCTGTACCAAGTTGACTGACCTGCTGTGTGGCTATGACCAACAACCCCTGAACCAAGTTGACTGACCTGCTGTGTGGCTATGACCAGCTACCCCTGTACCAAGTTGACTGACCTGCTGTGTGGCTATGACCAGCTCCTGCTGTTGCTGCTGGACCAGCTGGTGATGAAGCTGGAGGTAGTGCAGGTACGGCTGCGGTATAACTAGCTGCGACCCGGCTGGAAGACCGTTGACTTCCACGCCTGCCTTCTGGACATCTGGCTTCCTGCCTTCTTTGAGACTGGCATCGGAGGCTGGCGTTGAGGATGCCGATGTGGTAGGTGGTGTTGCATCTCCTGAACTCACCTGCTTTGTAGGTGTGAACATCTGTTATGTTAACCGTCTCCACCTGTGCTGGTATACCTGATGCCAGGCTGAGGTGGGCATTCAACAGGTAATGGAGAGATCTACTTCAACAAACTGGAACAAAGAAATGATGCCCCAAATTAACATCAATATTTGACATGAGATTATCAATCATAAATATAAACAAGTAATGTAGAGCTCTATGTAAAGGTACTGGAACACAGAGACAAGAGCTCTACTTCAACAAACTGGAACAAAGAAATGATGCCCCAAATTAACATCAATATTTGACATGAGATTATCAATCATAAATATAAACAGGCAATGAAGAGCTCTATGTAAAGGTACTGGAACACAGAGACAATGCCCCACAAATCAGATTAATATTTATCATGAAATTCTCATAAATTATGATATGTTGCATGTTTGTTTATACTGCTTTTAGAAATTGATTGGCTTAAGCTGAAGATGTAAAGTTTAAAAGAAAGTGTATAATTTAAGTGGAAGACAGGCTGGTGAAGGATATGAATGTTAAGAGGTAGTGGGTGCCCCATCAGGTGACATATCCTCATAAAATATCCCAATCAAGTAAAAGGAAACTGTGTTTCAGGTAAGTCATCATACGCCAAACCACAATATCATGACTAGCAATCTGCCTAGCCACCTTTACTGAGAATGACTTTTGGCAGGTACCCATACAGGTACCCCATCCAGGTACGCATCCAAAGCAGACAAGCAGTGACACAAAAAGGTAGACATATAAAACAAAAAAACACACTTTAATGTTCACTTTTTCTTAAATATTTGCTTTAAATAAATCTATAACATAAACATTATTTTTGTATTTATGAAATGAAAATAAACTGCTGCGTTGTGGTGGCAAACAATCACACACACACACATACACAACACTCATAGATTTAAATTAAATATTCAAAAAGACTACACATGCACTCAAAGATTTAAACTAAATATTCAAAAAGACTACACGTGCACTCAAAGATTTAAATTAAATATTCAAAAAGACTAACAGCTAATGATGATCTTTAAAAACCCAGTATGCTACAAAAAAAAAAAAAAAAATTCCCATCAATAGAGAGAATTATTAAAGAGATAATAAGGAAAGATATAATGACAACAATAATTGTCAGTGTCTCTGCTTTGTTTTCTTTGTCTACAATAAGAAGTCTACAATTAATAGTGTTTAAATGATGGGTTTATCTTAATAAAAGATTTCAAATTATAGCAGTAGATCAGATCCAATTTTGTATTTTTAAAATGACTGTTAATCAGACAGGATCCATTATTACAACACTAAGATAATCCCAATAACAATACAATATAAAACTTCAACAAACAAAATCTCAAATCTCATTACAAATAACTTAACAGACAATATCTCATTTTAATTTAATCAGACGTTTTTTTTTTATATTAAATTAAACCAAACAATTTTTTATAGCCAGTGTAACCAGACAATATCTCATTATAATTTAACCAGACAATTTACCAACTTAACCAAGCAATTTCTTACCAATTTACTTAACTTACCAACCTAACCAGACTATTTCTCAGAACCACCTTAACCAGATAATATCTCACATCAAATAACCAAAATATAACCAGACAATATCTCAATTCAAATAACCAAAATATAACCAGACAGTATATTAGTTCAAATAACCAAAATATAACCTAGACAATATCTTAGTTCAAATAACCAAAATATAACCAGACTATATCTAAATACAATCTCTAAGTCAGACAAACCGTACCTGAATAGGCATATTTCAAATAATCTAAATTGACAATTTCTCCTTATAAAGTAAAGCAAAAAATTCTTCAAAAAAAAAAACAACCATTTTCCCCGGTATTATCACACTCCAAGCCCAAAAAATAAAAATAAAACACATACTTACAAATGTGAAATTGGACATGACTTGTTAAGCAAGATTCTTTAGTTTATCCAGAGTGAAGCTAAAAAAGACTGAAAACAATAATACACATTAATTCCAATGCAATCAAAATTAATTTAAACAAAAATTTTACAAACTACGCTGCTACCCCGCACAAAACTAGCTGCTCGTACAAAGCATGTTCGAAATCGTGGAAAAAAAAAAAAAACTAACACCGAAGCTGAAGACAAATAAGGCTAAAATATGTTGCGTTGAAGGCTGATCGGCTCCTGCGCATGTTAAAATGAAAACCTTGTTGAAGTCCAAGTTAATGGTGTTAGGGTGCCCCCATTAACATGTCAGGTGCAGCCCTTCAATCAATGCAGGTAACATAAGGGACACAAACATACACAGGCATTGATTTTAGCGCAGGTACACCTGAATCATACGCACACGTAGTACACAGACACTGACTTTTAGAACTTATTAAAAATTTACAACCAGATGGAAATGAAGAAAGCTCGAGGTAATTGATGGAGAAAACCTTGAGAAATTGGAGAAAAAAATATCTGAGTCATCATCATCATCATCATCAGCAGGCTGTCTACGATGTGATTATTTTATTATATATTCCATACCACATTTACTCTCTTATCAACAGTACATCTACATGCACGATCAGCTTCAATCTCATTAATTATCTAAAAGCAGGTTGAACAAAGTGATCAAGTGGATTATTATACAACACCATTGACTAAAGTCATGAGTTTGTTGACAAATGCTTCACTAAAACCAACACTACTATCCCAGTGTTTTTACCTTACTAAAGAACAGAGTAAGGCAAAATCTATAAATACCTAAGATAAATGTTATATTGTAGCCAATCTTTGAGCACTTAAGATCATAATAAAATGCAATATATTTTCTAAAGAGATAATATACAGAAGTATACTGCAAATGTTATATATATATATATATATATATATATATATATATATATATATATATATATATATATATATATTCATAACAAGCATCAATTACTTTGAGCCTATCTTGCTTTGATCAAACTATACATTTAAAACAAAGAAACTAACCTAGTTTTATTTTAATGTGACCGACTTTAAACAACAATCAGAATAAAAAATATGAATACTTATTGTAAAAGCATCATTCCAAAATATAAAGTACTTCTAAAAATGTTCAATTTATTCCTTCAAGATCCAAACCACAGAAATAATTTAATGGACCTTTTGCTCTCTTTAAACAGGTAGTGGAAGGACAGTTAATCCTTACATGACTAAGTAAGTAAAACTCATAGATTTGCAATTTTGGATGAGGTACGTTAGAAGGTTAAAGAAAAGAAAGATAGATGATAAATGTCTGACAATAATAATTGAATTGTATAACCAGTTATCACAACGATCGTTGAATCTTGCATGAAAATATATCACAATAGTTGAATCTTGCATGAAAATATATCACAATAGTTGAATCTTGCATGAAAATATATCAGAATAGTTGATAAATGTTATAAAGATGTATCACAGTAATACAATTACATGTTGTACTATCCCAATCACACTGACTGTTGAAACCACCTATCACTATAAAACAGAATAACATTTATGATGTATTACAATAGCAGAAGTTCAATACATTTTTTGTATAAAGCATGTGGTGTTCCTGTTCTAAAAGCACACAGTCTGTGCTGGTACACAGGAGGGAGTAACAAACCAAGGTGGGTGTCCTGAGTGTGTTGGCTAGAAACAATAGCATTGCAGGTCAGACTGAGACTGATGCACATTAGGCCAGTCATGTGGGGCAAGGGTGAGGGAGGGGGGAGGGGGGGGGGGAGAAACAAGTAGAGCATCAAAAACCAGCCAGACATGAACTGGGGATCACCACTTGGCAAACAGTGACAGGCTTAGTGGTTCAAGATAACTGATGGGGAGGGGAGGGGGAGGAGGGAGGGGAGGGGGAAGTTGGGGAAAACAATAGATCCCAGGAGTAACATGTTGGCAGGATGACACTAGTTAACAGTGGCAATCTACAGTTGGTTGACTGCAGCAGTTATAGAGAAATATTCTCACACTATATCCATACAATCTGGTTTATAGGGACTACTATCTACTATGTTCATATGAGCTTTTAAGCCTTGTATAATATGGGCTATTTGAACCATTTATACAAACTCTATTAGAACAGAGTAGGCCTATTTTTGGGGGGCAATTTGAACCATGTATATATTTAATCAATGAAGGGTCTATATATGGGCTATTTGAACTGTGTTCTTATAAGCACTAATAGTGTTTATAATGGATAGTAGAACCTGTGTGCCTATGCATATGAAAAAGAACACACTTTTTAAAAATATCACACAAAAATGTTTGTGTTGAAATTATCATCTGGATAAGAGATGCTTCCAACATTAAGGTGAGTAAATGATCTAACACAAAACACATCTGTGTTAAGGTGAGCAAGCCAATTGAAAAAACATTAAACACACTCATGTGTTAAGGTGAGTAAATGATATAACACAAAACACACTCATGTGTTAAGGTAAGTAAACGATATAAAACAAAACACACTCATGTGTTAAGATGAGTACATGATATAACACAAAACACACTCATGTGTTAAGGTGAGTAAACAATATAACACAAAACACACTGATGTGTTAAGGTGAGTACATGATTTAACACAAAACACACTCATGTGTTAAGGTGTGTAAATGATCTAACACTAAACACACACACCTGTCGTTTAGTTCGGGACAACCCTTTGTTGTAGGCTGAACATCTGGGATGATCAGTTAATTAAACCTGATTAGGCCAGATTCATTAAATGACAGCGATGATGGTGATCGACCTGAACACGCCGTTAAAGGTAACCCCCCCCCCTCCCCACACGGGCGAACACGGTCAAACACGGCTGATAAGATAACCGGACCGGATCAGCCGGCCGGTCTCCCGGTCAGTCGCAAGCCACAGGCAAATACACGCTCCAAGCTCCAGACCACACTAGTCATCGTCATACTCCAGCCAAGGTGCTCTAACATTACTTCCCTTTACTAGCTGGTTCAACCTGTGTTTTGATATTTATATTCGTTTATTGCCATAAATTGTTTTTATTATCTAGTACTTTTGGCTTAGAGCATGTACGTTGTATTTAAGTCCATCGTAAGTTATTTCAAAATTCGCCCCCCCCCCTCCCAATAACCAGCTCTAAAATCTATAGTCACGTGGCTTCTACACAGAAAATGTTTGCTGGCTGATCTTGATTGCTACACGTCATGAACTAACTTTAATCTATATATTAAAAAAGACCAAGTGTAAAATACCTCGAAACACAGCAACACCGATCCATTTCAGTTGTCATACCATAACAAAAACAAAAGCTACCACGCCATACCATATCGCTTGTTCATTGATTATTTCGATTTTAAACTACTGTTTTTTTATTATTATTATTATTGACTTCAAAATGTTCAATAGTGAAACAAAAATAGTCCCGTGCACGCTTGGTTTGAACAGTGTATCTACCATGAGGTCAGGCCTCCACGGTAGTGGGGAGGCTCCAGTGATAAGGGTATTATGCTGCGAGCCAGACACTAAGTCGCCAACCGTTACGGTATAAGTCGTAGAGATAACGGCCGGGCACTGAAAGCCGGGGGGTGACGCACAGATGATGGTGGGGGTCCAGGCTAGCCGCTCGGTAAACTTGACCTTTTGCTTGGACGGGCAGGCTGGCCAGGTTACGCTTATCAGATTAGGTGCCACATGCTGGTTAGGGTTGAAATGTGGGGGGACAAGTGTTACGGGGAGGGTGACATCCAAGGATGACATTCGGGGACACCGACACAGAATGTCACATGTGACATGGCCAGGTTAAGCTTAACAGATTAGGTGCCACATGTTGGTTAGGGTTGAAATGTGTGTGGGGGGGGGGGGGGGGGGACAAGTGTTACGGGCAGGGTGACATCCAAGGATGACATTAGGGGACACCGACACAGAATGTCACCTACTGATCAATCACGGGCACAAGAAGACATCGTACACGTTGTCATGGGCACAGGAGGGTATTAACTGATGACAAAAGAGTCGGGCATCTGATGACATACTAAGATGACATCCATCGATTTTGCGGTACCGCGTCATCCAATGATGAAAAGAGTGCTTCATAATGACAAATATCCCATAAGAACTTTAGCCAGCATTTCCGATGTGTACCAAACCAGCAACCCGTTTCATTGTCGGGTCCACTGGCTTCATGTGTGTGTCTAAAGCAGCACGTCCACCCCCCCCCCCCCCCCCCCCAACAACGACAAGGCTGTGACTGTGACGGCGGTGATAAGGGCAATGATAAGGGCCGAGTCACGCTTGTTTTGTTTTCCAGGCCGAGATAACACCAAGGCTGAAAGAAATTTATAACTTCAGAGAGAGAGAGAAAAACTTCACCGGCGGGTTTTCCTCGTGGAGAACAAGGGAGCCATTTTTAGTAGCACTTAGTGACGTTGTCAAGCGTGGCCGTGACGTGGGACAAACAGCACCTAAGTCTTGACACTTACAGCACCACAGGCAGACAAAGACAGGACCATATGAGGACAAAGACAGGACCAGGACTATATGAGGACAAAGACAGGACCAGGACAGCATTAATGACGGGACCAGGACAGTATACAAAGACAGGACCAGGACAATATTAAGGCAAAGACATGAACAAGATAAGGACAATAACAGGACAGGACTAATAAAACATGTGCTGAGTAGAGTAACGGACCAGTACATGTGGACAAGGATAGGACCAGGACAACGTGGGGACAAATACAAGACCACAGCAACGTGTGGACAAGGATAGGACCAGAGCAATAAATTGTTGAGGACATGACCAGGACAACGTGTGGCCAAATACAGGACCAGAGCAATAAATTGTTGAGGACATGACCAGGACAACGTGTGGCCAAATACAGGACCAGAGCAATAAATTGTTGAGGACCTGGCCAGGACAACGTGTGGCCAAATACAGGACCAGAGCAATAAATTGTTGAGGACATGGCCAGGACAACGTGTGGCCAAATACAGGACCAGAG